GCGTAAGATTCATTTTGTCCGGGATCGACGGCAAGAACTCGCAGGCCCAAATTTGGCAGTGCGGATGGGGATTACTGCAGCCCATGATTTCGCCCTTGTTCTCAAAAATCTGCACCCATTGGAACGCTGCCTCCAGCTGCCTTTGCTCGTTCATCCAACATTCGACGACGTTTAGCAGTTCCGCGTCAGACATCAATGCCATTTGAGACTGGCAACTGCGATGAAAACACATCACCTTGCAAACGCCTTTGCTGTGCGATGTCCGGAACAGCGGATGGTCATCGTCGAATCTCCAGTCCGCTGGACAACCACCTAATGCCGGAAAGTCGTTCTCGAAAACGAACGTCTGTTCGTAGTTCTCGTTCCGCTTGCCAGAACTCCTGATCGCACCGGCAGCCAACAAATCGAGAACAGCGCCGTCTGAGGGCATTTTCTTCGCAGACTCCGTGCCCCCTAGCCAGGGTCGTTGCAGTCTTTGCGGTGACACTATGATCCACTGATCCAACAACGGATTGTATCGCCGGTGCGGAAAATTCATCATAGCAATAATGGCACTGTCTCGATCCCTTTAACTACTGACAAACTATTTAGTTCAGCCATAACTAAGTAAATTCAGAACAAATTTTGCCGGGTAAAGTAACCTCAGTCGAATCAGCAACCTACCTCCTTATTCTATTAACAGATGTTGCACAGCAGGGAAAGATATTTTTTATCAACTATTCAAAATAATTTAACTCAACAACTGCTGAAGTATGCAGACAACAACGAACAGGAATGGATAATGGATGAACTTAAGAAACTGAGTAAAAATTCCAAGAAAAATCATTAAAGTAAAGAACCGCAGTGCAGATTCAAAACAAGGAATATACTAAAATCAATATATTCGTCGAGAAAAACTGTCAGCATGCAAAAGAAATTTGTTAGAAAAAATTTCATGGTATAAATCCTGGATACAAGAATAACAGAGGGTACACGTAAAACCACAGGAGAAATAATGATGCAACCTTCAGGAAGATGCAATGCTGTTGAAACGACAAACTGGCAGCTGCCAACAATAAAAAGCATCAATAAACGACACAAACTCCGCCATGGCCGGTCCCAAGCCCGGATGAGAAAGGAGGAGGGTTGGAGACCGTGGCAAGT